CACGGGCCGAGCTGCTGGCCGGGGGCCGGGACGGCGTCGCGGGGACCACGGGGCAGGGTCTTCCGGCTGTGATCCTCAAGCCACACAACACGGACATCAGCAACACGCCACGAAGCAGCGGACATGCGGTGCAGGAGCGCGAGGCCGCCGCTCGCAAGGGCTCCCGGCCGGCCGGGCGCACGGACCCGCCTGGGGGCATGCACGGAGCCGCCCCGGCTCCCCACAGCGCGACAACACAGAGGGGCCTGGGGGTTGTGCTCGTTTTACCTTTTGGCTTTCAAGGGCGTCCCACTCTGTTGGCTCTCAAAACGGGGAGAAGTGTCACCACCGCCTGGCCTAACAGACTTCTCCCCAAACCCCCCCGGCTCCAGCTTCCGGCTCTGCCTGTCCGCCAGGGGCCTCTGGCTGGAGAAGCTCCTCTTGGCCAGCTCCTTCTTTTCGCCTGCTCCGGGCCCCGGCAGGCTGCCGTCGGGCGGCGCTTCGGGCTCGGCCCCGGGGCCCTCCCTGCGCTCCCGCCGCTCGCTGAAGTCGCTGCTCTCGGACGCCGTCTCCCACTCCTCGTTGGCGTGGTCCGAGGAGTTCTGGCCGGGGAGCTCGGGCGACCGGCGGCCTGCGGCGCCACTCTCGTCCCCAGGACAGAGCTTGGCCCGGCCCAGCCACTGACCAGCCAGCAGGTGGGACTCGTCCTCGGGCCCCCACAGGCCCAGGGCCTCGCGCTCCTGCCGGAGGCGCCGGAAGCGAGGGGGCTTGTCCTGGCGCGGGGGCCGCCTCCTGCGGAAGGGCCGGTTCTCTGCGCTCTCAGGGTCAGCTGCGGGGTCATCCGGGAAGAAGGGCCTCTTGTCCTCCAGGCGGCCATCCTCGAGGGCCCGGGCACCGAGGGAGTCCGCGTGTCTGTAGGAGTCTGGGGTGTAGTCTCTGTCGGAGGGCCGCCGGGGCCCACACGCGTCCGGGGCACAGGGCTCCTGCCAGGAGGCACCGGCACTCTTGCTCTGCCAGTGGGCAGACTCCTTGGACACGAAGGTACGGCGGCCGTAGCCACAGTGGCTCAGCCGGGGAGGCAGGGCGCGGCCGAAGGCCCGGGGGCCCCGGCTCCTAGCGTCCAGACTGCCGAGGTCCTCCGGGTACGTCCTGTTGGAGCGCCAAGAGTCCCGAAAGTCAGCCTTTGCGGCGGAGCCCTCGCCCCTCTCCAGGAGGGGGCCCTCGGGCCCGGCCTCTGAGCCCCTCTGGCGGCGGCGCTTGGGCAGCTCCTCATACTCGGAGCCCTCGCTGTGGGTCTCGCTGGCCACCCTCCGCCGGGGCCTGGCTCTGGGGAACTCCTCGGCGGGACCGAAGTCACGCAGACCCCGACCGCGGCCACTCCTCTGGCTGTAGATGCCCCGCGCCCCGAGGACCCCCCCAGCGCAGAGCCCGCCGCCGCCTGGCCGGCCGCGGAAAGTAAACTCTCGGAAGCCGCGGCCGCGGCCCCGGGCCGGGCCCCTGCAGCCAAAGGCCTGCTCCTCGTCGATGAAGATCCAGTTGTTTCTCTTGGTCGGGGGGATGTCGCTGGACTCGCGGGATGCTCTCGTCTCCCAGGCCCTGTCAGGCTTCTCGGCCTCCGCCAAGCTGCTGTCCTCGGGGCCCGCGGCAGCGCCCGGGTCCTCCGGAGGGGCGGGGGGGGCGTTCGCCAGCGTGGGGTCGTTCTCTTCATCCTCGTCCTTCTCCGCCTGAGGGGCCCCCTTCACCTTGGCCAGGCGGGCACCCTCCTCCCCCAGTTCCTGCTTAGCCCTCTCCAGCTCCTTCTCCTTGTCTTCCACCTTGAGGGCCTTGAGGACAGGTTTCTTGATGGGCCCTGACCGCCGGGTCCTGCAGGTCTGCTCCTGGTGCTGGCTGCTGGCGCTCTGGGGCTCCGGCGTCCACTCGGGCTCCAGAGGCAGCTGCTTGCGGGGGCTACCCTCCTTCCCCCAGGAGACGCTGAAGGCTGGCCCCTCCCGGGGCGCCTCCTTCTCGACACTGCTGGCTGTGTCAGCGGCCTTTGGAGGGTGGCTGACATCCCAACTGCTAAACTCTGGCTTTTTCTCAGCTGGGGCAAAGTCAGGCTCCAGGGGGGGACACCGGAGGTCTGGGGCGTGACCCCCAGGGGCACCTGCTTCCTGAACATTTTCTTGGGGTGGAAACAAAAGCTCCTGGCCTATTCTTTGAGAAGAGACACAGCTGTCAAAGTCTGCTTGGGCCTTCTTGTCGAAAGCACTCAAGTACTCCTCCCCTCTCTCCTCAAGGAGATCGCGCTGGGCACTTACGCCCCCGGACCTTCCGGGTGAGGCAGAGTAAGAGCATTCATTCCTGAAAAGGAACCAGAAAAAGCAGTCAATGTGATTGGAGCCTGGTTCCTGGCTTCCATGCTGAACGAAAACAGAGCTTACTTTTAAAAAGGAAAAAAAATTTAAAAAGAAAAAGAAAAAAACACAAGCACCGACATCTGCTCTATCTCTGAAGGGGTCTCAGCGGCTGGGCCACGGGCTGGTCGGTGGCCCCGGAGTCCAGAGAGTGGAGACGCAGTGGCTGCTGGGTGGACTCGGCGGGCCACCCCGGAGACAGAGCGCAGCTGGGATCCTCGGTGCAAAGGACACGCTGGAGCCTGGGAGTCCGCAGAGCGTCTGGGCCTGGGCCGGCAGGGCCAGCTGCTTTGTTTTACTTTCACAGGAAAGAGCCGTGACTGCTCTCAACCCCACCTGCCCTGCACGGCCTCCACCTGCCCGTACCCCAAGGTTGAGCTGAGATTGGCCTCTGACCCCAGGATGTTCCCACTGCCTTCCAGTCCCGCCGTCAGGTAAGAGCCGCTCCCACGAAAGCTCCGTGCCCCCTCACATGCCCCTCCCGGAGGGCACCGGCACCCCACGCAGGAGCCCCGCCCCCTCCAACGGGGTCTCCTGGAAGGGCTCTGCCAGGGCCCCTCAGTCACAGCCCAGAGTTCTTCCTGGGTCGCAGGTCAGTAGGCCCAAAGTCCGTCTCACCTGACATGCATGTCCATGGCCAAGGTGTCGCGGGCCTCGGGGTGAGGGAGGGAGTAGCCCTTGCTCTGCAGGGCCAGGTAGCCCTCCGGGCCCCACACAGGGGCCGGGTCAACGGGAGCCACTTTTCTCTCTCGGAGCGGAGGGGCGCAGCTCTGGTCCTCGGAGCGGCAGCCTGTCCCGCCGAGGGGGTCTTGAGGCGGCATCATGGGCTTCATCAGTCCTGAGAGGGGCGGAGACCCGTCAGCGTCGCTGAGTCAGAAAGCCACACCCCCAGGTCAAGCCCTCTCCGGTGTGACGTGGCACCCCACCTGCCGAAACCCCGCAGCCTCCGGGTCTTTCCTGAGAGGCTGTTCAGAGCCTGGCAAGTCACTCTTAGCGCCTGCGCGGACGGGAAAGGCCTACAGTGGCAACGGGCGCCGACGGTCCCAGCTGGACGGTTCACCCTGGGGCAGCAGCTCGCGCCCGCCGGGCCACCAGGGGTTCTGGGACCTGTGTGTCCTCCGAGGCCTCAGGGTCTTCTGCACGGAGACCCAGAAGATGAGGACTGGCAGCCAACACACCCAGACCCAGGCAGTAAGATTCAGAAAGAAACCCCGGCTCTAATGCCTTTGCTCCCTCTGCCGAGACTGGCGGCAACGGCGGCCCGCGCTGGCGGGGCAGTGCCCGGGGCGGGCAGAGAGGCGCCTCAGCCGGGAGCCACGCCCTCTCGTCTGCGCCCAGCCAAGCGTCGGGCTGGGGCGGCTGGCAGGAGCCCCAGCGGGCCTGTGCGGGGGTGGGGGCAGCCGGACCCTCAGACGCTTTCTGCACACAGCTCAGCGAGCCGTCACAGCTGAGGTGACGTGGCCAGGAGCGCAGGCCGGTGGAGGGCGCTGCTGAGAGGCTGTGACCTCAGTGCGCCCCTAGCCCAAGTGGGCCGGGCCCTTCTGGAAGCCTGGAGGACCCCAGCCTGGACCTGGTTTCTGCCGAGGCACCGGCTCGGCCCACGCTCGCCCCGACTGGCTCCTGGCAGGGGGCGGCCTGGCTACCTGCAGCCACAGACGTGCTGGACACACAGAGCTCACGTTCCACATGCAGAGCTGTGTCCCCAAGAAAACGGGACCCTCCGCACCGGCACCCCCAGGCAAGAGCTGCTGCTTTCTGGGGCGGGGCTGGGGCCAGGCCGAGGGGCCTGAGGGCTGGCACACAGTGGGAAGGCTTTCTGCAGAGGCTCCTCAGAGCGGATGAAACCACCACCACTGTGTCTACGAGACACACTCCCCAAGACGGGCTCAGACGATGGCAGCGAAAAGCTGGGGCTGAGGCGAACCCCAAGAAACGCTAATCTAGAGGCAAAAGAGAGGGGGGTGACGGCAGAGCAAACGGAGGGAGCAAACGCAGCAAGCCTGTCGTCGCGACCGTGAAGCCGGGGGGCGGGTCGCCAGTCGCCCCCAACAAACCCAGGACCCCCAAGTGGCAGGTTTAAGTACACACCTTAGTGACTACAGAGGGTGCTGCAAACTGTGACGGTGACAGGTTACTTGCTCGCCAGAATTAGGAAGCTCAATGTAATGAACCACATTAAATTGAAAAAGATACACCCTTCAGCTGGCCTACACTTGGGGGCGGGGGAGAACAGAGACCGCCTGGGAGCCTGCACAGAAAAAGCCTCTACCAAGGCCACGTGACCTAGCCGGGCGGCTGGGCAGCCCCCCCAGGCCTAGAGAGAACCCCACCTTGCCACCTGCTTTATAACTCAAGCTTTACCGAAAACCACCCCACTCATCACGGGCTGTGTGTTTTCTTTCGACAGCAGCCAGACTGACAGCAGCCGACCCTAGCAGGCCTGCTGTCTGCTTGCGGGAAGTCTGTGACCCGTTCTGGAGCGCAGAGGCCCACGAGGCAGCTGCCTGAGGCCTCCTGGTGGCGTAAGGGGCTAAGACACAGCAGACCTCTCCTGTCTCCCCCTGCTCCCCTCAGCAGTGTGTTTCAGTGGGCCCATCATTCTGCTCCCCACTCTGTCTCTGGTGAACCCTCTCACCCACTTCTTCCCACGCAGGCACCTCTGGCCTACACCCCAGCTCTTGTACGCATAAATAAATAAATCTTTCAGACAAACAAAAGAATGAACCAAGACAGGAGGGCCGCTTTTACATCGCATCCTGGGGCACACTGCCTCGGGAAAGAAAAGGCGCAAAACGGGGACAGGGAGCCGGGAAGGCCACGGGAGAGGGGACGGCTGCGGGAGCGACTCCGTGGGGGGAGACGCCGCGGACGCGGGTTCACGCTCAGACCCGCTGTGGGAACGGGGCAGGGGGGCCCAGACGGGGCGCCGGCTGGCCTAGACCCAGGCAACACCTTGAGGCAGCCGGGCACTTACCCGAGGGGTGCAGGGCGGGGGGGTAGAAGTCCACGGGGGTCCGAGCGGGCGTGACTCTCGGGTCCATGTAGGACGGCACCATCATCCAGCGGGGGTCGAGGCCCAGCATCTGGGGGTGGTGTGGGTAGAAGGTGCGCTGCGGGTGGGAGGGCGGCGGGAACACAGGCTGCCAGTGCTGCATCTTGTACAGCTGCTCCTGCAGGAGAGACCCGGTGAGCCGGGGCCACGGGGCCAGGCGCCTGCCCTGCACCGCACACCGGGCCGGGGGCGGCCGCCCCACGGACAGCGGCCTCCAGGCGGCACCCCTTTCCCACAGGCAAGGGGTGCTGCAGAGGCAGGCAGCAGGGCTGCGCGCTCCTCTCTGGACACAGGCCAGGCAGTCTGCGCTCAGCCCCCACCCCCGGCGGCCGACTGACCGACACTGCACAGCAACTCCCCGGCTCATCCCCCGCAGGCCTCTGGCGCCCCGGAGGGTCCTGAGGCTCCTGCCTGCTCCCTGCCCTCCCACGTCTGCCTACCCCAGTCCGTGCCAGGGAAGCCCCTCTTCCCTCGACCCCGCACCCAGCTGCCGCCTCTATCTTCAGTTTACCCCCCGGGGAAGCCTGCCGCACCCCCAGGACAGGCCTCAGAGCACCGCCGCTGCTGGACCAGACCCGAGAGACTGCGGGCTGAGTCCACAGCACCCTGGCCCCGCCGGCAGGTAGGAAAACTCGCCACATAATAAACAGCCACACGATACGCAAAGTCAAGGGCCCGCCCCCAGTCCGGGCTCATTCCAGGAACTGCTCCCTGGCGGGGTGGCCGCCAGGGCTGACCCGGCTACCCCACTTCCAGCGGGGACCAGCACCTTCCAGCTGTGCTCATCAGTCAAGAGCCCTGGCTCCCTCGGGGGGCTGCGGCCGCCAGACAGCCCCTCCGGCAGACTCCTGCAAGATGGCTGCCCCCGAGCGAGCAGATTTCTCCCTTCGGAAGCCCCCGGGGGTACCTGGAGGGAAGCGCCCGCGAGCCCCCTGACCGCGCCGGGGGCAAGGGGCCCGTGACAGCACAGCCGCTCGCTTGCCTGCTCCGGGCCCTGGGCTGGTGCCAAGGAGAGGACTGGGCAGAGGGTTTCCAAGGCAACCGCAGTCTGAGAAAGGCACAAGAGCTCTGCCCGCGGGGCGCCCTGCGTGCTGCAGTCCCGACGGCCAGGCGCTGACCGCATCCGCGCTGGGCTGAGGGCTCCATCAACCACCCTGGCTTCCCGCGACACGGCTCGCCAGCACACGCTGCTCGTGGGCTTCCAGCCGGCCAGACGACCAAACCAGACAGCAGAGATGACCACGCCACCCCGCGTGAGCCCCGGGGCCAAGAGGAGCTTCCCGCCAAGCCGACGACACACCACACTCCTGAGGACAGCCCGCAGCACCAGGGACGCCCCCGGCGTGTCGACAGCAGCCGCTCCTGCTCCCAGCTGGCGCGGACCTGCCTGCGGCCAGCACGGCCCGCCAGGACCAGCCCTGCGGCCACGCGCCCCCAACTCGCGGGCCTGGTCACTCGCGGGCCACTCCCCCGGCCGACCCACGAGGGGCTCCAGTGCAGAGCGCAGGCCCGCAGCCTCCCGAAGCGGAGCCCAGTGCACACCCTGGCCGTCTCCTTCCCAGGACGGGACACCGAGGTCAAGGAAAAACACGCAAGCGCTTTCCGCAGCAGAAACCAGCAGAGCTGTCCACCTAAGCCACGCGCTGGGGGGCGACTCCCGACACCCCGAGGCAACGGCGCCTCGGGCTGGTTTTCACTAAAGCGGCTGAGTGTGAGGGAGGGTCAGGCCTGTGACGCTGGGTGACGCCCTGTTTACCTGCTGCTGCTGCTGCTGCTGCTGCTGCTGCTGCTGCTGCTGCTGCTGGCGCTGGAACCTGGGAGGAAGTGACTTCTGGTACTTGCTGAGCTCCTGAGCGGGGGACCCCGACTCCTGGGTCCCCTCCTCGCTGCCGCTGCTCTGAGCCACAGCTGGAGGAGCTGCCGGGGTTTCTTCGGAAAACGCGCTGGGGGCTTCCTGGGCAGCCAACTCGGGGGAGCCTGGAGGACAAGCAGCCAGAGGACAGCCCTGGTGGGCTCACAGAGGGTCCGCAGCAGACACCTCTGCTGGCCCCCAGCCCACAGCCGGGCCACTCGCACTCTGGACCCAGCACCTGCCCTCACGGAGAGGTGAGAAAGCGACAAAGCGAGAGGGCAGGCCCGGCCAGGGGGCGCCTCGGGCCGCGGGGCACCAGGAGAGGGCCCCCGAGGAGCCCACATGCCCCGTCAGCCTCTCCGTCGGACGTCGGAGTCAGGACCCCCACCGCGCCCAGCCGGGGGCTCCGGCGAGGGGACAGGCAGCCGCGCCCGGCTCGCGAGTGCGCACAGCACAGTCCCTCGGAGACGCCCTCCGCCGGCTCTGGGCGTTCCACTGTACTTTCTGCTTTACTCAAGTATGACTGACACTTGCGTTCTTAACCCAACTGAGACAGCAAAGCCCTCGGGCCCGGGACGGACGGCCACGGCAGACCCCGCCGTCCACCGCCCCGACCCTCTACCGCCGGTTCCCAGCAAGTGCCGTGAGGCTGACCGGGCCCCCTCGGGACAGCGGAGCTCACTGAGTCGGCGAGCGTGGGCACTGCTGGGCCCCGCCGACCGCCAGGAGCCACCCGGGGGCGGCACTAACATCCAGCCTTCTCTTCCAGAAAGAGCCGATTCCGCCAGTCCACAGCACACGGCCGCCTGGGCCCTCGAGGGCTCCCCCGAGAGACGGGGCGGCGGCTGCCCAGCGTCCCTCCGCAGCGCCGGCCCACTCCTTTCGGAGCCCACGCGGGGAACAAGGCGCTCACACGCGGGCTGCC